TATATTTAAGCAGTTAAAAACAAATTGATTTGCCAATTGAAGGAGTATTTCTGCCCTTAAAATAAAGTAATTACATATCATTCACTTGAAATGCGATAATACATGTTTATTTTTCTTATTTTAAGTATAAATCATGTTATTGCAATGGTTTTTTGTCTAACCTACCTGCTCAGTTTAAGGAAAAATTAGCTTATACAAGTAAAACTGAGAATTAAATTATGAGCCTCACTGATAAAACCACGCTGGAGTCTCAGACCTGCAGCTGAGTTTATCTGAACATCTTGAAAGGAAGAAACATCAGAAACTGTTATGTTGTTCTTCCGGTCCAGCAGAGGTGGGTAGTAACCAGTTACTGCTACCTCACTAACCTTTTCTCAATAATATACTTTCAGTGGTTTTAATGAATCGTATGTTTTTCTCCACCTGGGTAATACAATAAAATATAGCTACTCTAACCAGAGTAGAAAGTTTGGCTGCTCCATTCGTCGGGAGTAACTTCACTGAAAAACGAACCAGTTTATTTTTAAAACAAAAGGCTCCAGACATCCAGGCATTTGTTACTTAAGTAGAAATATAGATACTGCAGTTTAAAAACACTCTGGTAAAAGTTGAAGTATCAACTTGACCTCTTTACTCAAGTAAAAGTGAAAAAGTATGTGCTCCAAAAACTACTTAAAGTATAAAAGTATAAAGAAACCTTTAAAAAAACAGCCAGATGTCACTATATGAACTGAAAGCTAAATTTTTCGACTATTTTAAAATATTCTTTGAGATAGGGCCAAGGATGAGGGAGGTCTTGTTGGTCTCCGTCTCCCGATACGCTCTCGCCTGTGTCCGACCTTTCAACAATGGTCGTAAGGCACCGAGCTCCGCCCGGTTAACTGATCGGTCTAAACTCAGCATGTATTGTTTTCAGAGGGGCACTGGAAACAATCAAAATCTAGAGAAGTCATTTTTTCTTCTATTTTGTTCTTGAATTGAAAAGGTAATAGACAATTTGCCAATTTACATATAAATATCTTATTTTAAGAGTAAAAATACTAATTCCATTGGCAAATCATCTCATTTACCTGCTCAAATTAAGGGTAAATACACTTAATTTAAGAATTTTTTTATTTATTTCTTACTTACACTCCAGTTAAAGTAAATTGGGCTTATGTGTCCGTCATTAATCAGTTGTTACGCCCTTCACCTTTCTAAGAACGCCTCTTCTATTCAGGCTGGCTAACTGCTGTTGGCTAGCTCTGCTTTTGTGAGGATGTAGTTAGCCACCGCTGCCTGCCTGCAAAGCAGGAAGTTCTATTGTTTTTTGGAGTTTTGAACGGCACTAGTGGCTCATTTTTTTCGACAGTAGGCTGACAGGAAAGGGGGCATGAGAGAGGGGGAGAGACATGTGGCAAAGGACCACAGGTCAGATTTGAACCTGGGTCGGCCGCGTAGAGGACTAAGGCCTCCGTACGTGGGTCGTGTGTGCCAACCACTGCGCCATCTTCACGCCGCCAAAGCAGAAAGCTCAAGTATGGGCCTACCTATCCTTTGTAGTTCGGGGTGAGCACAAAGCAAAATTAAACTGAAGCAGTCCACAGCGTTGTAGCTTCTCGATTCATGACAAGGACCAGCATGAAGCCTGTCCCGTGTGTCTGGGTATCGTTCACGCTCGGAGAGCGTTGGCGGAGCCCAAAGCATCCGCATTCTGTCACCAGCTTAGGCGCTCTACCCTGGAGAGACCAGTAAAGTTTTTGGAAATAGTGCTGAGAGAGTCTGCTGTCTCACAGTAAGACCCGCTGCTCTCTGAGTTGGGTTAGCTGACAACGAAGATCCTCGGTCACAGTTTTATCTGGACCCGCATCAGGATGATGAGGACGTATTTGATATTGGCACTGACATCCAGGATCTGTCTGAGCAAAGCCGCTGTGACGGCTAACAATGGATGACACTTCCTGCTTCTCTCTTACTAGCTACATATGAAGTGGCCCTCTTCACCTCCTGCGGAGAAACAATCACATTTTGCAGGGTTTTATCTCCCAGCGAAGCCGGCCACGATTAAAAACCGCCTACCCATTTTCCCAGACTTTGTGTCCGAACTGACATCTTCTTGGAACAATCCGCCATCGTCCTGCATCACAGTACCGGGCCTTGGACAATATCTGGATCCGAAGGTGCTGAAAAAGCTGCACCTGTGAACATTCCACCTATGGAGCCGTCCCTGGCGGCTTACTGCTAAGAACCCTTCCATCCAAACTAGGGGTGGAACGGTTCACAAAATCCACGGTTCAGCTCGGTTCATGGTTTCGTGGTCACAGTTTTCGGTTTGGTTCGGCATATGTTGATTGTTACACTGAAATCCCATAAAAATGAATGAAATTAATGAAAAAATCCAAAAGAATTGATGAATTGTAATTATTTTTAATGATTCGCGGAAACCCTGGATAATTTCTGGGTGTTTTGCTGCTTTGAATTTAATCATCTCGTGCATGCCCTCTACGATCTCCAAG